TCCATTTCAAAGATAGGATTCCAGTAAAAATCTTCATGTTTGATTAAGTGTGTGTGTGAAATCATTTAAAATCGAGCAGAGACAATTACTGAGTAATGAGAATAACAAAGTCTAAGGCAGTTTCGACTGAAATTCTTACGATATGTTGAATGTGCATCGATTCCAATTTTGAGAGAAGTTTTCACGAGGAAGATTCGGGTGTAACAGGTTTCTCCTCTGGCTTGCTGATCGATCGCCGATTAAGAACGACGGCGGTCGCATGTCGAAAAATTAAAGAAGATACGAAAGTTTTAAGCACATTATGCAGGCATCGTGTCAAAACCGAGCTCAAGAGTATCATACTTATTGAAAATGCTGGCGCTTAAGCGTTTGTGTAGGGATGTATGCGTGGGAGATGGGACCTATTGAGTTAACTATCCTCGTCCTCGGGATCAGGAAGCAGCACGTTAGGAAGTTATAAGTCTTTAAACTTTAATTTTAACTTGAACTCGACGGCGCTAAAGTTGGTTTAGTTTTACCTTACTTATACTTCTGCGGTCAGGACCCGGAGTTTTAAGAAGCTTCAAGATCCCACGATAAACCCTGAACGCTTTACATTATGAAGCGGTAAACTAAAAAGACTTCTGACGTTGACGCAAATTCCGTTTTTGTCAGTTAGGGAAAAAAATATTCGCGGTAATATCCGTGACGTGACAATTTTCCGTTCGCTTATTGTGGCCACACACGGTTTGATTTTACGACAAACACGCAGTTTAAATGTTGGATTTGAGGAAGGGAATGAAAACAGGCATTTACCTTCGTACTGCATCGCTGCTGTTGAATATTTTCCGTGCGCGCTCGCCTGTAACATTATATGCATTTCATGTTTTATTAAATTTGCCATAATAATTTTGTTCCACATATTTACGTAGCGCGTTGTAAAGTAAATTGTCGTGATATAACGTTTCTAGAGAGAGGAATATTAAATCAAAAATATTACACATAATGTCTTAAATCTCTGTATCTCTTCATGTAGTTGAAGCGGGAACGACTTCCGTGCGAAACGAGAAAGTCTGGTCGAGTGATTTTTCGTTAAATAGCAACGAATGTTTCGCGCGTAATGTTTTGAAAAATTCCGCTGTAAATTTATTGCACATTCTTCCGTGTCTCCATTTTGCAGAATTAATCTCGTTGGAAATAAACACGCGTTGTTTGTCAAACACGTTTCAACTCAATTTTTGCGTGATTACAAAGTTTTAGATACACTCGCGACGGTCGCACCGCGGATTTTATTTTACACGCGAATGGATTTATTCTTACGCAAAGTAAACATATTTCACATACTAAACACGATATTTGAATATCTCGAATGTAAATTTCAGCGACAGCGGCGCATGGGAAACATGGCTGTCGTATTTTACTGGAGATGGAAAAAAACGGAGTTTCACGACAAGCGCGTGTCGTTTCGCGAAAGAAACGGATACCGCTATCTTCCATAGTGAGCGTCATGCGGGCAAGACGACGAGGCGAGTAAGGCGAGCTTTTTTTTTAGCTTCTCTTTGTGCCGTGCTGAGGTGTTGGTCGATTGAATGTTCCCGGTCGCAATTCGAAAACTCGCGAAGCGTGCAAGTTCCGTGTGGTGTGTCATCTTTTTTGTTTTGATTTTTTTTTGAGGGGGGCAGGGGAGGGGCTAAAATCGAGTTTTCCAGTCATCCACGCATCAGTCAACGTCCGCCGTAGTTTTTGCAAATCGCGGCGCCGCGATATCGGATAGGTAATTTCCGAAATCTCAGCCTCCCGCCGGATGATCTATTGCCGGCACATCGACCATTCGATACGGCTAACGCATTAGACCGTTCTATGCATTCGACATCACTGAGATCAATAGACACTTCTGACACGTTACACCGCGGTGTGTAACAAACGGAGGTGGATCAGGAGTGTACGGCACTATCCGCGGTGAATGCCGCGTGTTGCGCACATTATATCCAATATACGCATAATTGAGAGACGCAGCGCGTCGAGAGCGAGCCATTAACGTCGATACAAATGTCAGCATCAAAACTATTATTGTCGTAAACATCCGATAATAGGCACGACGGAAGCTTTTTCCGGCGCATTACCAATCGAGATACGCGAACGTCCTCTCTCGTTCTATGCGACGAAAGAAAACTCTTCGTCGGCCGAAAGTTTTCGCGATCATCAACAATGTCTTGAATGTTTAAGCCGAACATTCTTTTTATCTCTGGCTATGCTTCTCGCTCGATCAATCCCGAATTTTGACGCTCTTAAGGGTAGTTTGCGCTTACTTAGATTCTACAGATTTCATTTTCGCGTTACCTTGAACAACCACCTATTTTGACGCTAAGAACAGAAATTTAAGGCATCTCATCAATTATATTATATACACATAAATTATATTATAAAGTTTTTCGGAAAGAAACCGTCTACTTGTCCAATTTGTCCATGGAATTCTTTCATTTCTCATCTTCTTTACGGAAAGAAGGAAATATTTTGACCGAGCACACGTGAATTTTCCTAAACGAATTTGTATACCCTCGGGACAGAAAAAATGCGAAAAATGCGCGGAAAAACGGGTTCTTTCTGAAACTTTAAAACAATAAATGATATATTACTAGAATTTCGAAATTGAACTCATTTGGCTGTCTTACTGCAAATTTAAAAGTTTAACACAGAGGGCGAAGATTTTTCGGCTCAGAATGATGGCAGCTCGCGACGTACCGGCTGTTCGTTCGATTAAAGACTGTTGGCATGAAATGCGCGCGGGACTTATTGCCTTCAGGCGGAATTTACGGCCGACGGACTAAGCAGGACTAATCTTTCGGGGCGAATAGCACAGTCGCATTACAATTCAGCCTCTCGGAGAAATGTCCAAGTTTGCCACGCGACGCGCCTTAAACTCCGGGCGACTTAGCTTTTCCTCCGCCACTGCCGCCACCCTCTTGAGGGGAGGCGAGTTTTGGTTTACCCTTCACTCGTCGCGACGCTAGCGCCGCGCCGGAGGCTCCAGTCCGACCTCAGCATCACTCGTGGTGGTTTCGCGCGCGTATCCGCCGTTAAGGTGAGACCACTTTTCGAGGGAAAATATCGAAATTCCGTCCCGTTTTCGGCGAAACGCGCCGATTCAGCCGTCCGCGCCGTCGGACGGCGACAGTTCGCGAGGAATGTCGGTGAAATAACGGAGGAAGATCGTTTTCGAGAGGAAGAAACGAAGAAAGAAATTGGACAGGGTGAAACATGAGTGATATTTGGGGGCGAGTGAGCGAACAGTCGCGGATCTCTCGATCGCTGGGTGGATCGCGCGCCCTCGGCGAGTAGCAAATCCTCCACAGACTCCCTCGATTCCCTCTGTTAACGGCCGCACGTTTGTTTACCGCTTGTCGAGCGATCTGTTTCGAATCCGAGTGCTTCCGGAATGCGCTCACGGGAATGCGGAGATTTTCGGCGAAATCGCGGGTGATCGAGAAATCTGGTCGACGTGCATGAAAACTCTTGAATTCCCATAGAGCGAAAAAGTGCATCGCGGCGAAAGGGGGGAAAGTTGCGCGAAAAATTCTCGTGGAGAATTTTAGAAAACATTCGCCCCGCGAGAGACGACCGTTCGGAATGTGTCCGAGATGTTCGAATAATTCGGAGTAAATTCGATACCGGGATCCTGTGGCAGTGAGATGATACTTGAAGTGCGAGTGTCATGAAACACGTTCAGTGAAATCCGGATTAAAGCGCTCTCGTGCGAATATATATGTACGTATGTGTGAAAAATAGTGACAAGTATAACGAGCGGAACGTGGTGGAAGTGTGATATTAAAAAAAAGAGAAGAGAGAGTTGAGAGAGAGAGAGAGAGAGAGAGAGAGAGAGCTGAATTCGAAATGGGCTGTACGCGGCATATCTGAAGTAATCGAGTGAAAAGAGTTCGAACGTGATAAAGCCTTTTTCGGGGGATTTTGGGAATATACGCTCCGCATATCTCTGAGATTCAAAAAGAGGCTCTGAATCGAGCGTGACAAGCCATGTTCGATGTAATGTTCAACAGATATCTCTTTGGTGGTGCGTGTCGCCAAAAATCCGTATTAAAAGCTCGCGCATCAGACTCTCGTCGACAGTGATGAGTTCCGCACGGATCCTCTGATTCTAAGCGACACTTGAATGCGAAGGCTCGCGCGAATTTCACTTCAAAGAGGCGCGTTTTTCCGCACGCTGAAACACCTCAGCGGCGATACGCACACCGGTCGATAAAACTCTGTATCCGCAGCGAATTCCACTTTTATGAAAGGCGCAGTAACGAGAATTACGCGTACGTCGATCGACGATGAGATCTTAGTCGAACCCTCCGGTGTAAAACAAGCGTTTGAAATTTCCGCACGTCAATCCTGCCGTACGTCATCTTGAAGCTGATCAAAATTCGAGCGTATCAGAAGCCGGACGCTATGTCTGCGCTTTTCCTACGGAAGAGAGTCGTGCGTAATTAGACGACGCCTGAGTCATCAACGTTGGAATTCCAACCTCGATCCTCCAGTTAACTTCTCCGCTGTATAAACGTCTCAATAAGGCCCACCCTGAAGCTCTTCGGACTTTTCCGCCGTGTCGCATGCGAATTCTTGAGGATCTTTTGCTCGGGTCATAGCTCGTTCGCAAGGTTTACAAGGGAGAAACGGTCGCTCGATGTCGGTGATACGCGAGGGAAAATAATTGGACGCGAATGATGTGCCCGCCGACTGGAAAGGAAATTCGCGAGCGCGCTGGATTCTCGCGATAACTGCCACGAGAAAAAAAAACGACAGTGTCGCTCGCGTTCGGTGACGCTTAGAACGGAAAGACGTAAAAAAATACCGCCGCGATAACGTTGCGACGAGGTGTGTTCGCGAAAACGATTACGCCGGCGGAAAGCACTTGGATAAAGGATAAAGCTCCGACTGACCATTTGATCGACCATTCGCCGTGCAATCGCTGCTGTTTTCGGTGGACGCGGGTGGGGGGGGAGGGGGGGTATTAACGGTAATAAACTCGCCCGGGGAGATTGTCGGTGAGGCTCTTTTTCCTCCCGTCGACCTACGGAAGCGCGACATTTCTGCACGCGCTCGTAATTAGTCATTACTCGAATAATCCGTCTCGCGTTATAATTAGCCGCTTTTTCGAGGCGAGACAGAATCGCGTCGTGTACGGGCGAGACGAATGCGCGGGGAAGAATCGCAGCGAGGTGCGCAATTAGGCAAAGGGTATTGCGAGCGTGGTAAAAATGAGATCCGACTGGTGCAGCTGGCATACACGCACAGCTCGAGGGGGAAACTCGTAAAGAGTCATTCGAAGCACGGAATTACGTGTCTTGAAAGAAACCGCATGAGCGCGCGCGCGCGCGCGCCCCTCCGCGAGGTGGTAGGTACACATAATTGAAAAGAAAAATTCTCCTCGCGCGATCGACGCTCGTCAAAGTGATAGCACGGTATGCGAGATGCAACAATATTGACATCGCCGACGTACGTTGAAACTGCTCTCGGTATATCGGCGATTACGCTGCGGAAGCTGCGCGTACCATTAATTTCCCATCGCGTCGCCAAGTTTTCCCGTGAGTTAAGACCAAAATCGAGGCGACGGCTGCTCCGTCGTGAGGGAAAATCGCGCGCGACTTCGCACACAGGTAAATGAAATATGCACGGGGATAAAAGTGCCGGTTGTACGGCCGACGAAAGCGCAGCGAAATTCCTCTAACAAATCGCCATCGCCTCCGCTGCGACTGCAACTGCGCGTTCGTTCTCCCGCGTGAGAAACTATTCAACATTCGAGAGGGTGTTCGTGGCCACTGCGACGCGATCGATCGGATCTAGCGAGATCGAGGAGCAGCGCCGGAAGTGCTTGGATATTTCGCAGCAAGTGCTCTTTTCGTTGCATCCGCCTGGCTTGATTTCGTGCCATTGTTTCCCGGTGGACGGCGATCGTGTTCACTTCAGAAGGAAGAGAGGCGCGCAACTTGTCCGAAGGTACGTTTTAAATCATCTTTATTAGCTTAACGGTGACCAACTTGACAAAAAGCCGGAGGGTAGTATAACGCGGATAACAGAAATGCGAACTTCTCAGGCGAGAGATGAAGTTACCTTTTCATTTCCGGGATAATAGACTTTACGGGATAATAAGCCTTGCGCGTTATTAGTGCAAAAAATACGGGTGGAGTTGCGAAGGGCGCGTCAATATCGATTGGGAGTTATCCTACGCAAATTGGGAGCCGAGATGAAAATTCTAATATCAAAGAGCAGAAAAAAGTCATAAAGCGAGCGTGTGTAACGTTAACGTGTAATTGTGTAAGTCGTGTAAGCGTTTCTCGGGTACGTACAGTAAAAAAGCTTAGCAAGAACTATATTACGCTTGTGTTATTCCTCAAAGAAAGATTTGCCTTTGCCAGCTAATTACGGCTATTTTCTACGACTACCGTGCAGTATCACGCATATGTATCTCGGATGTTAATGCTGAAATTTGTCCGTGTTAAGAATCGAAGCCGGCCATTGTGAGCCATTTTCGAGATAAAATCCTAAAAGACAAATCCCAGATGACTTATTCGACGTGCATTATTTGAGCGCGATAATTTAAAGGCTGTCACGGTTTTCTGGACGAGAGCAGTTAGTTCTCATAAATGAGATTATAATGAATCGCGGGCGCAAACTCAATTTCTTCAAAGTCCCTAATGGATTTGTCACAAAAGAATGTTGGCTCGGGAATGGGAAGAGTTTGGGGATCTCTTAATCTGTCTTTACTGCTTTCTCATTACCTAGAACTCCCGGAGTGAAGGCTCATTGAAATAAACGTGAGGGCTAAATTAAACGAACGAGAGAGTCCGATATTTACGTCGCGCCTTTTTTAAGAGGTCGCTTTTAGCTCGGTCATCAACCCGATACGTAGTTAAATAAAACTGTCGTGTGCAACGAATAGGAAATATCGATTAATTTATCGCGCGTCATATCTGCGCGAAGAAAAATAATTATTGCCGTTAAAAGTAACAATACAGTGTGAAATGCGCGAGCATTGTGCGAGTTTTATCGGTAAACAGGAGATGGATCGAGTGTGAGCGTGATGCCGCGTAATTGAAAATCTGCGGGATGATAATAATATTTCGGCGGTGTGCGCGACTCGCGCGCCGAAATGTTATTATTTCCCTTTTTCCCCCGTTATTTATGCAAATCTCATAATTGATCATTTTCGAATACGTTAAGTATAATTTCACTGATATTCCCGGTTGAAATCGATGTTTCTCGAGTACCGCAAACTACATTTCACGCACGTTTTATACAATCCGTGTCAATTATGTCCATTCGTTACGTTTTATCTTGCGCTCAACGCGCATTACATACACGCGATTAGCTTTACACGAGCGCTGCAACGATGAAAATTAGTCGAGTTTTTTTCAACTCTACAGAATTCGGCTCACTGGATGATTCGTAAAAACAGATAGCGGACTTCAATTAATGGTTCGAAAGTTTATAAAGCGGCGCGCGGTATAAATATAATATGCGCTTCGACGCTGCTAATAAAGCCTTCTTGGCCGTTAATTTATAATTACTGACCGATGAATTTTCGCGTGCGTGAGAACCATTGATGCCGATATTCTGTTGTAGTTCTGGCAAACTGTACGATAAAATGTCCAACTCTTTGCGGTTCGTGTGCACCGCCGCCTGTGGGCGATCGCGGCCGCAGGAGGAAGAACCGTCAGTCCGTGTTTCGCAATAATCTCCGCCGCGTCAAATTACTGTAACTTTAATGCATCGCCGTCGGCGTTGCGCCGGTGGAATACAGGCCGTTCTTCGAACGCTGCTTCGGCGCCCGCCTGTGTGTAATTCATCACATTTGACGATATTAGCGATTACTCTGCTCGCGCGCCTTATCTACAGCTGCCGACTAATTATACCAACGCCGACTCATCACTCAGTATTTTGTACGTACACGGCTATATTTTCCTCTCCTCCCGATTGGCGTGCAGATTAATCACGCCTGCATCCATTATGCGGATGTAAGGAATGTGCGGAACCTCGCGTGGAGAATATTATAAAAGCGCACCTCCCCCTGTGTCGTTTCGCGAGAATCGAGGATTCGATTTTACGGGACGGCGAGGAGGATCCGAATGAACGGTGGGTGGAGGAAGAAAACAGGCGTTCGAATCTTGCGCATCAAAACTGAAATGATTGATGGCAGCGGGAACAAAAGGAGGGGAGGAAGTAGTTTGTGTAGGTAGGCATCTAGGAACACTCGAACGCAGTTAACTCGAATGCTCCTGATAATAGTGATACTACGGAGAGTCATCAACCGGCTGGCCCGGTTAACGAGTTTTCCATCCTTTCCCGAGGACTGGCATTTGTCATCGTTCGGCTTTGACGAAGCAATTCCTGTTCGTTTCCCTCCCTTTGTTCCGCGGACGGAGGTCGGTCAAGATTGGATACCTCCACCCCCCTTTTAATGGGGAAAGTACTATCAGGCTCACTAAGCAAGATTAATGTTGAATGTCTCAAATTGCGAGCAACGCGGTGATCGATACGTTTCGCATGTTAATTCCCTCGTTTGTCCCAGTCATCTTATAATCGCTGACAAATCGTGTTTATTGCGCCGATAGCTATCAACATTTTCGTCTCTGTACAATGACGAAGGGAAATGAACTTTTCGAATATTTCTCGTAAATCGTGTATTCGGAGGTGAGAGATATAGAAAGGAAACGAGAAGAAAGACGAGCTTCTCCTTCTGCTTATCAGACCGCGCTGCTCTCTCGTGCCTTTCATACGTTCGCATAACGACCGAAAGTCCTTACGCGTAAGTCCAGGTTGTGCGGAATTTTCGAAAAAGTCGTCGGACATCCCCTCGAAACTTCCGCGTATTCTAGAAAAAACCAAGTCTTGAAACTTTTTCGAAAGCTACTTCGGCACTGCGGCATATTTTCTCGTTCGATTTAAGCCGAAGGATTTTATTATCCTCACACCTCGGATTTTACGATCGTTGTTCCCATATCGCAATCGCGTCGGATAAACTTATCTGCTCCAACACCGTTCCCCCCTTCCCTTCTCCCATCAACGGTGATTTAGTAGACCAATAATATCGGCGTCGCAATAATTTTCTCTGCATGACAAATATGTACTAAAACGTATCCGCGGCAATTTGTATCAATAACCATATTTCATTACACGGAGCGTTGCCGGTCTTGGTGCGTTTTCGATCCCATATTGGCGCGGTAACGTTACCTAATCACGCTTGCATTTCACTCGCAACTGATACGCGGCCGATATACCAGTCTTTCGAGAAAGAAACGAGGTTTATACGAAGAAAAATAGCATTTTGTAAGCAAGGAGATTCCGTTTGAATTTTTAACGTGACGTATATTAGCACAATAGAGAGGGCGGGAGCAAATTGTGAAAATCCGAAGAGCCGATTAATGTGCAAAATAGATCCGAATTAATGAAAAAGCAATTGTGTTTGGTCATGTTTTATCGGTATATTTAATTTTATTTCGCGGTATTTCCGTTTATCTCGAAAGCGGATGGGAAAATTCGTTTTTGGTGTATTTCCAATTCAATTATTTGTATTACACATCTAAATTGTGAGAGTTGAGAATATAATATTTAATATAACAAGTTAGTATGAGAGAAAACTGATTTTCCCAAGTTTGCAGAATCTGAAGTTTGCAAAATAAAGTTTGCAGAAGTTGAATTTTAATAGATTTAGGATAGACTGGCACGTGCGCGTAAAAGCGATAGCTGTTAACGTTTAATGGCCTTCAACGAACCTGCAATTTCAGTGGGAGGAACTTACAGCTTCCAATTTTTGCGATGAGATTTATATCACGCGCTGGCTTTGATCCCTTTCTTTGCAATTCTGCACGTAAAAGAAGAATCCACAGAGATTATTCGATTCTAGACACAAGTTCGAAGTGAAACGGAAAACATTGGCATTCTACATTGGCCATTTCTTAAAGCCATCAAGGCACAATCAATCCTTATTTATCCATTCATCGACAAGAAGATCTCACATTATCCAGATTTATCTCGATTATATCGCGTCGCGAAAACAGCGATTTATTTGTTTCGCATTTCAATTAATGGCAGCGCGCGCATCGAGCGCGTCTGAAAATCCGATCAGGCTCTCCGCGCTTCGGGTTCTTACTTTCTCTCGTCACTGTAAAATTACGGCAACGTCTCCGGAATATGTAATCGTCCTTTCGTTCAATATTCATCGAAGCAACGCCGCCGTCGGGTCAAAGTAATCACTCATAGCTTTGCGTGGGCATAACGATTCTATACTGAAGGCCGATTAGTGCATTTGTCATGCAGCCGGGGTATCTGGGGTCGCGCGTACCCCCATTAGTGACGTACGGACAATACCGTCCTCCTCTATGCGAAGACGACGAACCGAATTCTACTAAGTGAACGCTGCCTGATCAATGGGAATGCTATATTTCGAGGAAACGGTTCGTCATGGTACGAAACTCTGCGTGTGACATCGTCCCTTTCACTTTGAAGAGGATTAATGTACGGCTCATACGAGTGCGATGTTATCGCAACAAGCTATATTCCCACTCGCGAGCTGCGATTACGTGAGGGTTTGTTCTGCCGCGTGGCGGATCTAATGAAAACCTCGTTAATCAATTCGACTTTTCCTCGTCGATGCCCCTTTCGAAGATCACCCGATTAGAAATCGTCGTCAGGTATACCTGCATGATAATGCACGAGATCCTAAATAGGTGGGATCCTTACTAGGACAAAACATCCTAATCATGTATTGATAAAAATTCAATAAGGAAGACGTTTGAAAGATTATAATGATTAGATGGGTAACCAGTTAAAATTAATCCGAGTTCGACTGGAGAAAGAAATATTTTGTGTATTTTTAAATTACAATATAATTATACAGAGGAAGAATGGCGTGATGATAAAATTGGAATCAGTGCGGCATTAAGGCAATTATATTACAATAAGCGTGCTAGCGATAAACAAACGAAAAAAATGGTCGT